CAGAGCCATAGTAACCAAAACAGAATGATGGTGGCATAAGAACAGATCCATAAACCCATTGAACTGAATGCATATCCCAGAAATGAACCTACGTAGATTAAAACTTTGAAAACCACCTTTGGCTTCTTTCTGTCAACGAAACCATTTCTGCCTCCAAAGTGCATCCCGCTCCCATCTCTTCATTTGCTTGTCTTGAGCCCCGAGCATCAGCATCTCCCTACTTCTGAGTTCTCACTACTCTCCTTGATTATCTTCCGTGTCTAGGTCAGAGAGCTCTTGCTCAGCTACACCGACGTTCTGCAGGTATCCTTGTCTCTACCAATAGGAAGTCCAGACTCAACACACCATCAAGCCTTCCTCGGGCTACTCAGGTCTGCTTTGTGAGACAAGTCCTAATGAGCGCACCTGATACTCTTCTCTTCAGCCCAGTCCCAGGGACCTACTCGTCTCTCCCACAGCCCAAGGGCTCCATGCCTTGACCTCCTCCCCTTGTTTCTTGCCAACCTGCAGGAGCCATTTTTCCTCCACAACCAATTACAGTACAACCTTCTCTAGCTCCTCCCTCCACGTTCCAGAAGGAAGTGGCCAGGCGCTCTCTGTGTACACAGTTCAGGTCCTCTGACGGGTACTTCTCCGTCCCGCTTGTATTATTGTCAGTTGCATCTCTGTCACTGAGCACGTCTCTTTTGTCTCTGAAAAGCTAGCCCACTCTCCTTCATGCCCTTCCAAGCACACAGCTTCACTAAATGTCTCTCTTTCTTAGAGTTCACTGAGCAGTTATTATCTGCAAGGCATTAGGCCAAGAACTGCTAGGACTGGAAGAGACAGGAAAAAAAAAGAAAAAGAAACGCAACCCCTTTCTTCAAAGGACTTTTTAATAGAATCAGTGAGGCATGATGACAACCTAAGCACGGAAGATGGCTGTGGGGGTGGATCTGGGTGGAGGGACTTTCTGCGAGTGGAAGGAACATTCTCAGTGTTCCCAGTGAGGGCACTGGTGTTAGCCCAGGAGGGAGGGAGACGGGAAAGCACAGAAATCTGCTTTGAAATCCCCAGTCTGCGCTGCAGTCATTAGTAAACTCCCCCATCAGTCCGGCCCATCTAAGCCATCCAGTCCATCCCCCACACACCCGAGTCATCTTCCGGCAAGAGTGATCGTGAAACTCCCCATTTGAGGGCCTGCTGTTCAGTGAATCAAGCGTCGGCTAATTGCAGGCTTATGCTAGGAGTTATGGAGAATACCGGCTTGTAGACATGACACAAACCCCAGGAAACATCTGGAGAACAAAACAGCAAGAACATGCTGTGAAAGTGCTAGGGAGAGGGAGACAGATGAGGGTGTGATCAGGATGGGCTGCGATTCACCGAAAAAGGATTAGTCAGAGGAGGCGAGTCTTCTGTGCATGCGCTCAGTGAAAACGCAGACAGGACGTACCAAGAGACCTTCAAGAGCTTCAAATCCGGAGGCCTCCTCCCATTGGCCTTCAAGCTACCCATTCTCAGTTACCCATTCATGTACCCAACAGGCCCATGCTGAGCACTTTGAGAAAACACTATGTATTTCCTGATCACTTTCTAGACACTGGAACCCACCATTGAACAAGACACCTTAAGTCATCCAAGCTCTACCGTGCAGTGGAGATGAGTGAAACTGAACAAGTGCCCCAAAGGGTGATGGGAGAGTCCTGGGTACCACACCTCAGATCTCAAAGCAAGGATTCATGAGCCCAAATTCCCAGAAAACACCACTAAGAGATGAAGTCTAAGCTGGAACTCCAAGGCTATGGAGGAGTTACCCAGTAAAAGGGGACTCACCCACTAGCCAGAACATGGTGTACAGAGGCCTGGTGTTAAGAGAACATCCAAGGAACCAAAACATATTCAAGATGACGGTGGCTGAGAGCAAGTAGAGCGGATGGAGAAATTAGGGAGCCAAGCAAAAAGGAATGATTTTCCCAGGGTGTGCCAGGAGCTCACACCTGTGGGTAACAGGCAAGTGTGTGATGCAATGTATTTAACTTGCTAAGGACTTGACAAACAGCTGCTGAAGAATAGAGTAGTGGGTGGGTAGATGAGTCCTGAGCTAACTTTGCCAAGGACTTGGACCATTTGAGCCCACACTGAGCATAGATTATGTGTCCTTTACTCCAAATGCTTAGGACTGAATGTCTGGCAGATTTGGGTTTTTAAACCAGTCCTATACATAGAATGAAGCATCTTATGATTCCAAACCAAGTCTTGTAACCTAAAGGTGTTTTTATATAACATTTTTAATAACAATAATTATAATTATATATAATAATATAATTATTATTAATAATTTTGATCATGAAGCATGGTTTCTTGGTATGGGCTTCTCCACTTGTTGGTGTTGCATAAAGTTGCAGGTATCAGAGCATTTTGGACTTTGGGTTTTAGATTAGGATGTTCCCAGATGTTGTGTTACTCTGACATAAGGTGTTATCCCTTCAGGGTTGCACTGAGGTAGAAATCTTGACCCACACCCCCATCCCACTCCCTGCCCCCAGAAGTCTCTGATCTTAATAGACTTACTCAGAGTCACTTGACTTTGCCTAACAAATGGAATAAAAGTAAATCTGCATTGAAGTCTGGGTCAAAGGTTCTCTAGGTGTCCTGGTAAACCTTTTTGCCTGGGAGTCACTGGGCTTAAGCTGCAAAAGAACAACCCGAATGTCTCTTAATCCCAGATGGAAAATAAACAGCCTTCTGATCCACGTGGACAGGCATATTCCCAAATTAAATTATTTATAACAAGGCTCCATTGATACATTCAGCCTAGGAGAAAAAGGGAAGGGAAGACCTGCAAGGTAGCTCAGCCTCCAAGGTCTTCAGGTCTATCCCCAAGTCTGAAGATCTAAGTTCAATCCTCAGGACTCCTGTGCTGGAATAAGAGAAGCAGTTCCTGAAAGTTGTCTGCATGCCCTATAGTGCAATGCACACATGCGTGCGCGCACACACACACACACACCTCCACCTCTACCTCATCAACTAAACCTTTTTTAATAAGGCAAAAGTTCTAGAGAAAGAGAAAGCTCTAAATTCTCTAATAAAAGGAAAATTAGTTCACTTTTTTCTCTATCTTTCTTTTTTTTCTTCCTTAAAGCATGGTTTCCTTGTATAGCCCTGGCTCTCCTGGAACTCACTCTATAGACCAGTCTGGCTTTGGACTCAGAGACCCACCTACCTCTGCCTCCAATGTGCCATCTGACTCAGTGGTTAAGAACACTGGCTGCTCTTCCAGAGGACTAGGTTCAGTTCCTAGCACTGACACGGCAGCTCACAACTGTCTATAATTCCAGTTCCAGGGGATCTGACACCCTCACACAAATATACAGGCCGACAAAGTACCAAGGTACATAAAATAAGAATAAGTGAATCATTTTTATTTTTTTAAAAAAAGAGGATAGAAAAGAAAGACAACTGTAGAAAACCATGCTGAGCTCTTCCTTCGGGCAGCCAGGTTGTCAGGTTTTCTGCATCACTTTTGCCCTTCCAGACAGCACCTTGTGTGTCCCAGGATGGCTTCTAACTCCGGACACAAACTTGAACTTCTGATCCTCTTGTCTTCACCTCCCAAGTGCTGGGATTACAGGCGTATACTACCATGTCCAGCCGATGGGGTGCTGGAGAGGGAGCCGCCTGTTAGGTGAGCCTCCCACCAACGGAGCTACCTCCCCAGCCCCTTCTGGATCATTTTCTTACCTCAAATGCCAGCTCCCCACCTCCGGAGCAGCCACCTGCCACTTGTCAGAGTGAGCCGGCGGACTCCAGGATGTCGCCAGAAAGGGGGCGAATGTTCATGGACACAAGATGCTCTGCCCATTATCTTAGGACGTGACCAGCCCCCAGTGAACATTTTCTCTCCCTGCTTACGAAGAGATGATTTCCCAATCCCCTGCAGACTCACACTCAAGATTCCGAGGTCGGTTTGTCTCCAGGCATAAATGACAGAGCAGATACAGCGTCTAATCAAAGAGTTCAAAATTATATCTGAAGTCTTTATAGCAGCTAAGCATTCGTCTGGCAGACAGGCTATCTTGAATAGAGCTTTACAGAAATCCTTAATGCTGTTGCTAGGTTAGGGCTGTGTGTGTGTGTGTGTGTGTGTGTGCGCGCACACGCGCGCACGCTCGCACGCGGGGGAGAGTTTTATATATGTGCTCATCAGTGACAAATCCTCCCTAGCACAGCCAACATGTACAAAGGTCATTGTTTCAGAGGGAGACATAAGCGAAGCCTTCTTGTACGGCTTTCGAGGAAATCTGTTTCGTGTGTTGCGTTAGTCTTGTGAAGTGCCGCACTGGGGAGAGAGCCAGGTATACCCATATGTGGCTGGCACAGAAACAGCATTGGAATCTTCTTCGTGAGGCTAAGCCTCACAGGGTCCTCAACCCGCTGTTTGCTGACTGCTTTCTCACTCTTGAAAACCCATGCCTAGGCTGAGCAGCCCCAGAATTTATAAGGGCCCCCCCCCATCTAAAGATCTAGGGGAGGGAGGGGATGTAGCTGCCACCTGCGTGCTTCTGGATTCAGGCAGCTATGGGAGCATGTCACTTGAAGGGGCTCTTGAGTCACAGGTGATAATTCTCCCGCTCCACTAATGTGGTGCAGAACTAACCGGCTGCTTTCCGGTCCCTTTGTGGACCCTTGAGTGACAGACAGTTGGTTCTGATTCAGTATTGTGTGCTGAGTGATCCCTGCAGATACAATAGGCTAAACACACACTGAAGTCATGACACCCTTTTACTACACACACACACACACACACACACACACACACACACACACACGCTTCAGAAAGCCAGCCTTCCCCCGCTGCAGTCCCGAGAATGTACCTCGATTCTAAGCCAAGCTGTTTCCCTCGTCCTCCTCGCCCCGTGCATCATTCACGCTTTTATTTTGCATTAGGAGCAGTTTAGTGATCATGGACTTCGGCTCTTGCCTGGAGTGATCCTGTTCGCATTTTATTCTTTGCACAGAATAGGAAGGAGGTTTGCTTGCTTTGCGCAGAAGCTGAGCTACAGGAGAAAGCAGAGCCAATGTGATTTATTGAATGAAAGCACTGGACCCTTCCCAGCAACTTGTTCCTCTGCTGCCTCGAACAGCTTAAGCTGGTAAGTCAAATTGATTGTTGTCTTTCTCCGTGTATAAATGTGGGGCTTTCTCAGTCGTGGGTGATTTTTTAAATGTGTTTGTGTTAGTGTGGTTTAATAAATATATTTAAATATATATACATATTTTTAAATATCTGCGTCTTCCAAAGTTTGCTGCAGGTGGTCCATGGGGAATACAACCAAGCATGCACACAGTGGTCTGCTGTGGTACATACACTGCCGTGTGGAGCAGCAAGGATGAAGGTGGGGGCGGCCCATGTTTGACAACTGGGCAGTTTCTTTGCAGCCAGCTTAGTCACATGAATTGCTTGCATAACTGATTGCCATTAGCTATTAGAAAAGAATGCCTGTCTGGTGGTAGAAAGCATTTTTCGCTCGGGCTCCTGGATACCTCAGAAAATACCTGTTGGATCAGGTAAAGGTGAGCCCTATCATACTGATGATCCAAACTCAGGCACGCTGTTTTGCAGGGTAGGCACGCAGAATGTGAGCTCAGGGATCTGTCCATCGTGGGTCAGCCTGTCCATCAATCACATGAAGACTGTGATAGTGAAGATCCCTGCCAGAGTAGCAGGGTGGACATTCGAGGTCTTGCTTGACCCTGTGTGGCCTCCGTATTCACTGCTATCCTGTAGGTAGGGTGGATTCGAAGTGCGACATTGTAAGTGTCCCTTTGTCTATGCCGGATGTTGGTATGTCTGTGGCCACAAGTAGTTCCCTACCCTGCTGGCTTCTGAAAACCCTGGTATTCACTTGCCTTCTCCATTTCCTAAGTAAGATATAAGTGGACTTCTGCAGAGGGGAAAAGGGAATTGGAGAAAGCTATCGCTTTCCCTACGGTCTCTTAGCTGGTTTCCTCAGTCTTGTTTGCTTGGCTACCCCAAGGCTTTATGGCAGCCTCAATCCATCTCTGGTGAGTGAGTTCAGAGTCCGTATAAATGTCATACATGGGGAGTTTAATGCCTTCGGTGTGCTCCCTCTGCTGTAGATCACTGGCCACTCAGCTGAAGCTGTGGCCTCGGGGGCTGACAAAGATGGATGATGTTAGAACAGTGATCAGCAGGATTCTTCAAATACAATCTGGAGTCGGGAGGTCTGAGAGATGGGTGAGGTTCCTCCTCGTTGAAAAGATTCCCCCAAGCCTCTCCATCACGGAAAAAAGTCATTCTCCCGTGTGACTGTCCCTGTGTCGCAAATGATATCACTGGAGATTGAAGAAGACAGAATTGCCTATTGGTTAGACAGCTGGTAAGATGGCAAGAGAGTAGAACGTGTTAGTTCCCTTGGGATCCCTGGCTCTCCATATCTCCCCCATCCCCGGCTGTTTCATAGCAGCGCAGCCATGAGACGCTGCTTTCAGCTCTGTCCACAGTGCCCTTGTCCATACAGTTCAACTGTCAGAGACCCACAGAGTGCGCACAGGAGGACTAAGGGCTCTGTGTCCTTTCCCCCTGAGGGATAGAGAGAGTCTGATAAGAAGCATGGCTGCGTTTTGTGTAAGAGGAGAGAGCCGAAAAGTTCCATCTGAAGAATACAAATAAATACAGCTTATCTTCAAAACTATTTTTTTTCAATTAGTAGCAACTGGTGTTCTGTACACAAAATTTCCAAAATCTGAAGTCTTAAGTGTTTTAAAGGAAATATCCAGGTGCTGTATTGAGGGAGGGTAGGTGTGGATAGAGCCATGCATAGAACTCACAGCAACTTCCAGTTGTTTGGGTAACCCAGAGTTAGCAGTGATACATATACTATAATGTAAGGAGTTCTAGAAAGCTATTTTGCCCCTCCCATAAACTGCCTCACCTCTCATATTAAGATATGTGAAGTTATTTCCCTGGAGATTTGGTATTTTTAGGTATTTCTGTCTTTTAGAAAATACATTCTCAGAAGGAGTAACTCATGGGCCATTAATCCTGTCTCATGTATCGTTTTAACCTCAAGAACACCCAGGTGATAGATGATTGTGCTATCAATTTTTCTGCTTCCTATTTACCTCACTCCAACCTCCATGAAGCGCCTTTATAGTTACCCCACTCTTGATCAGAAAAGCAGGCAGTCTTTCAATCGTGGTCTTGCCTTCTTTTTCTATGGAATGCCTGACAATACCATCTAGAACAGTGGTCCTCCACCTTCCTAATGCTGCAACCCTTGTATACAGTTCCTCACGTTATGGCGAGTCCCCAACCATGACGTTATTTTGTTGCTACTTCATAACTGTAATTTTGCTACTGTTCTGAATCATGATGTAAATATCTGATATGCAACCCCCAAAGGGGTCACGACCCACAGGTTGAGAACTGCTGATCTAGATTCTTTATAGAGATTTAATAGTCAAACGGGGAAGACCAGAATACCATCCACTCTGTGAAACTCACATTTTTGGCATAGGTGGGGGGATTAATGTTTAATAGGGACACACTGTGTTTATCAGAGCATTCTAAAGTCGGATGGTAGAGATGGCTGTGCGACCCTGCAAAGCCACTTCATGTCACAAAAATGGCTTAAGTCAACTTTATGTCCTTGTGGCAAATATATCTCGCCACAATAAAGGACTCATCACAAAATAGCCCATTGTGTTTTCTCTTAGATTTCGTGAGTGTACGTGTGTATGCGCGCATGTATTTATTTCTCACTATTTTCACGTATTTGTCTGTGGCCCCCTAAATTTAATTAGGGTTGCCTGGGTGTGCATGGGCGGAAGTTGTATTTAATTGAGCAACAGCAACTTACTTGTGTCTACACCACTGAGGAGTATGACTCCACTCCCCCCCCCTCCCAAACAAGCATTAACCAATATGAATCCTCGGGGAAAGGTGAGGGCTTAGAAACCTCTCCTGTCTTCATGATGGGATGTCGATGGACCTCCTAGGGTGGGTAGCCGCTGCTACTGTGAGTCCCTAAGCTCAGCAGCAGGTCATGTACAGAAGAACGCTTTTGCTACCACTCCTTCCAGTCCCCTGGATCTTATAACGCTCCTCACCTATGATGCAGCCTGGGCCTTGGAGAAAGCAAATGTCCTGGGTAGGGCTGAGAACGTCACAGCCCCTCATTCTCAGCACTTCCGTCAATTAGGAGTCTCTAGATTAATCACCACCCACATCAAGCAGAAGGTTTTCTGACCAAGTCTGAGAGCTAGACTCGTCCATGTGAATACACAACTATTTAGAAGGCAGTTTGACACCATGTCTGCATAGCAAAGGAGCATGAACAGGTTGCCTGCTATGTTTTGGGACCTCCATGGCTATGGGCTTTTGAACAGATTTACAGCCCCAGGCATGCATTCTTCCTGGGTAGTTGCTTTAAAAAATTCAACCAGAAAGCAGTTGGTGATCCCTACAGCCACCAGCTTTAGGATTTTTTCAAGACATCCATATTTGGTTGTCTGTTCCTAACATTCTCACACTTCTTCCTTTCCGATTAACCCTCTGACCACTACCAAATTCTCCTAAAATGCAAATCTCAACTTTCTAAGAATGTGTGCTTTTACTAATTGTACGTGTGTATTGAATACAGTGTGAAATCCCTGTGTGCATGATCGGGATAATTGATACATCTATCACATAAGGGTTTCTGGTACTCCCTGCTGTGTATAGCTTAATGTATTTGTTCCTTTAACATGTGTGCAAGGCCCTGGATGTCTTGGCCCTGCTACCTATCCAGGCCTCTTTCCTAAGGTCCATGTGGTGTATAGCTGATGGAATGCGCCATTGCATACGACAGAGCCCAGAGGCTTTCCATTCCTCGCTTCCAGAATGTTCTACCAGCCCATTTCTATATCCTTTCCTGTCTTTACATCCTAACCTGGGCTCATAGACCTGGATAACCATTTCTGTTCTTGCTAATTATTTCTCATTCACCATTCAAAATCATTTTCATGAGTCACCTCCTCTGACCCTCTTTTTTCCCAGGGTCACTTCCTGTCACTCTCTTTCGCCATTCGGCTCGCTGTGATATTTCTCTGTCTCGGGCTTTTTCAGGGACACGTTTCGAGGTGAAGAGCTCAGATACAGATCCACATTGCTTGCATTTGAATTGTAGATCTGCCCTTAACAGAGCCTCAATGTATTGCTACTAAAACAAGGATAACAGTTCTGCCTTCAAATGGCTATTAAGAGACTCAGTAAGTTTGTATTGTGAAAGTACAGCAATGGGCTAAATGCTTATGTCCCTTTAAAATTCAGACAGTGAGATCCTAACCATCCAGCTAACAGTTGTCTTGGTTAGGGTTTCTATTGCTCTGAAGAGACGCCATGACTGTGGCAACTCTTAAAAAAGGAAGACATTTCATTGGTGCTAATTTACAGTTTCAAAGGTTTAGTTTATTATTATGGTGGGACATGGCAGTGTACAGGCACACATGGTGATGGAGAAGGAGCTCAGAGCGCTACATCGACAGGCAGCAGGGGTCTGTCTTCTACACTGGTTGTAGCTTGAGCACAGACAATCTCAAAGCCTACCCTTCCAGTGGCATAGTTCCTCCAACAAGGCTACACCTACCCCAACAAAGCCACACCTCCTAATATTGCCATTCCCTATGGGGGCCATTGTCTTTCAAACTACCAAGGCAATAAGAAGACCAGGAAGGCAGAGCTCTCCAAGCTGGCACTAGTGTTTCTCTAAGAGACCCAAGAAAGTTGGCTAGACCCTGCCACTGCAAGGACACAGAAAGAAGGCTGTGTCTATGAACCAAGGAACAGGAACCCTATATCTGCAGGCATCTTGATCTTGGCTTCCCTAGCCTCTAGAACTGTGGGGGAAAAGTTCTTGTTGTTCATAAGTTACCCAGCTGGTTCATTTGTTATAGCAGCATGGATGGACTGAGACAAGCTTGATTCTAAATACATCCAACTCTCAGAAACCACCATTAGTATATACTGCCATTCAACACCACGATATTTCCCAGCTGTGTGTTTGTCTTTCTTTCTAACCTATGAGGACTCTGGGAACAGCTAAAGTGACCACTTTAACTTGTTTTTGGTTTTTTTTTTTTTTTTTTTTTT